TTGAACAGTCTACCTGATGTCCACCAACTTTTGACACAAGTCCTTGCAAGTTGTTGGTTTCTTAATACCAAAGTCCACTTGTTTAATGAAAATATATATTTTAAAAGAGTTGGGRGCTATCATGAGACACCTCATGAAATKAATTTCTGATTTTAYTGAAAAATAGAAAAAGTAAAACATAAAAACAGTAAAACAGAGAAAACCCTGTGAATTTAAAGAGCACTTCAAAGCCCAAAGWAACTCAGCTGTTTGTTGTGGTGAAGGTGCCACTTCTTGCTTCAGAGCAGGGTTAAACTTCTCTGCAAGCTTCCAGCTCAGCACAAGACTTTTTGGAAACCCTGGCCTCTTGTTTCAGGTCTTATCTTTTTGTCACATTTCTTGTTGCTGTTTAGCAGTACACATTGCTGAACCTTTTTGGAAAGATCAACTGAAAATCAGTGCAGAGATTGCCCCACACACTGCCCTGAGTCTGGGGGTGCTGATGCACAACGCTGGCAGTTTCCTGGCACAGAGGGAAGCCTGATGTGGCAGCAGCACTTTGTGCCTGCATTTGCAGCTGGGCTAATCCAGTGTGTGTTGTTTTCTGTTCCATGGTAGCAGWAGGTTTCTGCTGGTGATCTGCATGGATTGGCCAAACCATGGGCAATGGACAAGGCAGGCAGGATCTCAGACCTGTGCTGGTGCTGCAATGTTGTTTCCCCATGATAATTGAGCAAAAGTCTTCTTTGCTTACTCAGTGGTATACAGGCTTCTTTTTTCTTCACTCTTGTTGTTGTTCTTAAAAATTTACATATATATTGAGCACACTAATGTGACTGCTCAACAGCCTGTTCTTACATAAAATGGTTATAGAAGCAGGTAAAGCCATCTGGGTCAGAAAAAGAAATTAGATCTTCTGAAATCTGTTGGTCTTGCTAGCACGAATCTGGCACTGGGCACTTTCCCTGAAGAAAAACATATGGAAATGGGGAGTTCTGTGTTCCAGGACAGGGACAGGACARCCCAGCAGGGCTGGGGAACAGGAATCATTTCCATGTGCTGCCTCAGACCAGTGACCAAACCATTTGCAGTGCCAGTGCTGACCTGATGACACCCCAGGCAGTGTCCAACCTGCCTTTAGAGCAGAGCAGGGCTTTGGGAGCAGCACCCAGGGGATCCTGCTCTGGATGGTGGCACAGCTGGGACAGCTCAGAGGTGTCCACACGAGTATCTGTCACTGCAGTGCAGGCACAGCCTGCCTTGTCTCTGTCCTGGCTGCTGTCTCCATAATGGGGATAATGGCATTTCCCAGAGCTGCTGTGGGAGCTCAGCCATCAGCACCAGGGAGACAGAGATTACGCGGTTTTAGCCTTGTCAGGGATACTCTTTTCAGTGACTGCAAGGAGTATTGATTCAAGTAATGCAGGATTTAGAGGCTTAAGCCTTCACTGCCTTGCTAAGAAAAGGCAATTTTAGCTGGGAGTAACTTTCAGACCTCTCCAGTGAAATAACAGTGGTGCTTTCAGCCTGGCTCCCTGTCTGGCCGTGCCGGCAGAGCTGCCTGGTCCCAGCAGCACACAAGGGCCTTGTCTGCACTCTGGGCTTGGGGAGCACTGGTGGATGAGTTATCCCAAAGTGATACCATTCATTATCAGCACTGCACTCACTGCACAAACAGCAGGGGTTTGAGGAGGGAGCCTTTTTCAGCTTTAGAG